CCCCCAAAAGGCCCCAAGAGCCACCAAAAGGCTTGAGGCCCTTAAAGAAGGGGAATCCAGGAGCAGGCACAAAGGGTTTCCCTGACCTTCAAATAAATAAGGGCCTCTACGGGCCCTGACACGCCGAAGGCCCGAAAAGTGCCGAGGCTACCCCCAACCCCAGCTTAAACCCTAACAGCGCAACTTTAAAAACATCAAAGCAAGCATCAGGGCACAAGAAGATAAATTCCATAAACCCTAAACCCATAGTTTGGGTGGCCGGGGTGGGTTGACGGGCAACGCGAGCGCGCGGCCCGGGGTGTTTCACACCCGAGCGCGCGCCCTCCCCTGACACACCCTACACCCTAAACCCTAAACCCTAAACCCTAAACCCTAAACACTAAACCCTAAACCCTAAACCCTAAACCCTAAACCCTAAACCCTAAACCCTAAACCCTAAACCCCAACCCCCAAGGAGTGGTACAAAGGGCTGACTGACGAGTCGACCTTTGAGGCGCCCCAGACAATTGGGGTTTTTGGGTTTTAGGGTTTAGGGCTTGTGGTTTAGGGTTTAGGGGTTGGGGTTTGGGGTTTAGGGTTTGGGATTGCGGGTTTGGGGTTTAGGGTTTGGGGGGGGGGGGGGGGTTAGGGTTTGTGGTTTGGGGTTTAGGTCTTGGGGGTTTGGTTTTAGGGTTTGGGGTTTATTGTTTAGGGTTAGGGTTTAGGCTTTGGGGGGTTGTAGGGTTGTAGGGTTATAGGGTTGCATTTGGGTTTGAGGTTTTTGGGTTTTTAGGTTTTTGGGTTTTTGGGTTTTTCTTTATGTTTTTTTTTGGGGGTGGGGGGGGGGGGGTTGGGTTTTGGGTTGTAGGCTTTTAGGGTTTTGGGTTTTATTGTTTGCGGGTTTAGTGTTCACGGGTTTATCGTTTGGGGTTTTAGGTCGGGATGTTCCCCGTTATACTAACAGTCCTTAATCGGGATTATAGTACCCCCCCTATTATAATCCCTGTGAAGGACTGTTCGTATAAGGGGGAACATCCCAAGTGTTACACTTCAAGAGGGGGGTTCTGGGAACGGTTTCGAGCCTCTATGTCTTCAGCGGGTGTTGAAGCGTGTAGTCTTTTTTGCGGGAAGTATCAAGGGCTTAGGGTTTAGGGTTTAGGGTTTCGGGCTTAGGGTTCAAAACGCTGAACCCCAAAACGCCCTAACAAACCCTATAGCTCGTATCGGCCGCCAAAATCCCTCTGCGCCCCAGAAGCCCTATCGCGTTCGTACAAGAATGACCCACAGCGTGTCTACCTGAGTCTACCTTAGAAGCATAATCGGAACAACGAAACCTAGCTACTTCGGGAATGGTAGCAATGCTTGTTTAAGCTTAAAACGCCAGACCTTCAGAATATGTGGGGTGGAGGAATAACCACACGCCCAGTATTGTCTTTCTTGTTCTAACCCAGACATGTGTTTATAGCATCCCTTCTAATAAGTTAACATACAGACACGTGTAGGATCTTGGATGAAAAACTCATGTCCAAGAAATTATGAAAGCATGTATTTGCTTCGGGTCGTAAATGGTTGTCTCTTGGCGTTGCAACACACAAGCATCCACAGCGTCCCCCTCCCTTAAAAACCGCTAACCCTCCAAACCCCGAAACCCTAAAACCCTGGTAACCCCAAGGCCCCTGAAACCCCCAAAAGCCCCGAATCCCCGAAATCCTAAACCCCAAAACCCGAAAAGCCGCTGGAGGAGTTCCAGGCCTACCTCTACCGGACCAGCCCGCTACTTTTCGAATGGAGCACCAAACCCTGCCCCCCCTCCCCCGCAAACCTGACTCCCCCTTTAAACTTATTTGCGGCCGGATTTACGGTTTAGGATGTGGGTTTAGGGTTTGGGCTTTAGGGTTTAGAGTTTGGGGTTTAAGGTTTAGGGAGAGCTTTTTCATGTGTGGGCAGCGGGTCCTTGCGTAGAGTTGAGGGTGCGGGGCCTGCCACATCCCCTTCGCCGGGCCTCCGACCTCAATTTCAAACCCCGAAACCTCCCAAGCTCCTAAGGGTTTAGGGTTGGGATGCTCCCCCTTATACAAACGGTCCTTAATAGGGCTTACAAATTGGGGGGACTATAATCCCTATGAAGGACCGTCGGCAGATGGGGGAACATCCCAAGTTCAGGGTTTCTAGGAGCTTTGGGCTTCGGAGGGGCTCAGGGCTCAGGAGCTTAGGGCTTTTGGGGGTTGTAAGGACTCGGGGCCTAGGGGGTTTAGGGTTTAGGGTTTTGGGTTTAGGGTTTAGGGTTCACCCTAAGCCCTAAGCCCTAAGCCCTAAGCCCTAAGCCCTAAGCCCTAAGCCCTAAGCCAAAAGCCCTAAGCCCTAAGCCCTAAGCCCTAAGCCCTAAGCCCTAAGCCCTAAGCCCTAAGCCCTAAACCCTAAACCCTAAACCCTAAACCCTACGGATGAAAGGGTTTTCCGAATCCCTGAGCACGCCCGGACTCCCAGGATTGGGTCCCCGTGCCCGCCGCCCTGCACGTGAGGGGCGTGGGGGGGAGGTCCGGTCCTCAGGGTTGGTTTAGGCAGTGTTTTTTTTTTTTTTTTTGGGGGGGGGGGGGGGGTTGGGGTTTCGGTTTGAGGGTTTAGGGTTTAGGGTGTAATTAATAGGGAACCAGAGAAGCAGCAGGAGCAGGTGCAAGCTCGACGCTTTTCTTGGGGGATCACCAGGGCGTCCGGTCTGAAGCCCAAAGCCGTGCCGAGTGTGGCGGATAAGCCCTAGATTATAGGGTTCTTAAGGGAGGGGGTTTCATCGGGGGTAGGGAACCTTAGAGAAGCTTAGCGAGCCTTAGGGAGTAGTAGGGGTCTTAGGGAGCCTTGGGTTACATACCCCCCTTGAACCCCCCTCCCTTAAGAACCCTAAAACACCCCCCTTGTAACCCCCTCCCTTAAGAACCCTATAACTAGAGTGAGCACGAAACCCTCAACCCTCAACCAGCCTCAAAATACCTAGAAACCCTCAAACATAATTTGGAATCCCAAAAGATGCCTAAAAAGCATACCTTTTGAGGGTCGAGGGGGCCGCTGAGCCCTTAACATCCTCAACCCTCAACAGCTCTCAACCCTAAACCCTAAAGCCTTAACCCTTTGCACCTTTAACACCCTTGAGGATGTTGAACGGGTTTAGGGATTGAAGGCCTAAACCCTAAACCCTAAACCCTAAACCCTAAACCCTAAACCCTAAACCCTAAACCCTAAGCCCCCTGGATCCGATCCTAGAAGCCCTCAGCCGCAAATCCTTTCATTAAGCCCTGGGCCATGAACCTCCGACCAGCCCCTCTAAACATACCAAACTCCATAGCACAAAGGGCCTCAATATTTTCGTTATTGGGTTTAGGGTTTAGGGTTTAGGGTTTAGGGTTTAGGGTTTAGGGTTGAGTACAGCCAGCCCAGTCCTAGTCTGTGCGCCTGGCACATCCCAGGCTCACAGCGCGCGTGCGCACCATTTGTGTCGCCTTTGCGTGTCATGGATGCGGTTTCCGACACAGCCACAGCGCCGGCGAAGCCGCGCCTACAAACAGTCTCAGTGAAGCGCGTTGCGGACTACTTGAAGGAGCAGTGCCCTAAATCCTAAACCCTTGAGACCCTGAAGCCCCGAATCAAAGCACCCGAGTTTAGGGTTCAGCTTATAAACTACATATATAGGATTCAGTTTATAAACTATATATAAATACTTTTTAACTACTCTCTCTAGAGTAAATAAATATAAACTTACTTTGGGTATATATAGATGTATATAGATATTATACATATACTGACTATGTACTGTATATATATATATAGGTACTGTATATATATATATATATGTATGAAATATCAATATACATAAACAATTAGAAATAAGTGTAAAACTACATATACGTATAAATGTAAATAAAATATAAGTATAAGTACACACACACACACATATATATATATATATATATATGGTCACCCCCCCCCATGATCCACACCTATGGTTTTCCTGTCTTCGTCTTTGTCTGATTTTCTGCTTTTTCCTCGGAAAAAAATGCAGTAACAACTGTACTAGAATACAAAAGGCTCTTTTATATTATCCTCTATAAAAACACTAGTGTTTTTATGTGCATTTTTGCTTCTGAAACGTCTTGCGGCTCGGAACCCGTGTTTTTTTTTTGTTGTTGCGGTTTTTTTGTTAAGCCGGCCTCCACAGCAAAAAAAAAACGCGCCCGGCCTCCGGAGCAAAAAAAAAAAACGCGCCCGGCCTCCACAGCAAAAAAAAACGCGCCCGGCCTCCACAGCAAAAAAAAAAGGCGCCCTGGCGAGGGAGGAGTACGCAGCCAGGGCAGACCAACAAGTGTGTGAGTGAGCCCGCCCTCCACAGCAAAAAAAAAAAACGCGCCCGGCCTCCACAGCAAAAAAAAACGCGGCCGGCCTCCACAGCAAAAAGAAGCGCGCCCGGCCTCCACAGCAAAAAAAAAGGCGCCCTGGCGAGGGAGGAGTACGCAGCCAGGGCAGACCAACAAGTGAGTGAGTGAGCCCGCGCCTCCACAGCAAAAACAAAAACGCGCCCGGCCTCCACAGCAAAAAAAAGACGCGCCCGGCCTCCACAGCAAAAAAAAAACGCGCCCTGGCGAGGGAGGAGTACGCAGCCAGGGCAGACCAACAAGTGAGTGAGTGAGCCCGCGCCTCCACAGCAAAAAAAAAACGCCCGGCCTCCACAGCAAGTCGTAGTAGTAGTAGTAGTAGTAGTAGTAGTAGTAGTAGTAGTAGTAGTAGTAGTAGTAGTAGTAGTAGTAGTAGTAGTAGTATAGTAGTAGTAGTAGTAGTAGTAGTAGTAGTAGTAGTAGTAGTAGTAGTAGTAGTAGTAGTAGTAGTAGTAGTAGTAGTAGTATTAGTAGTAGTAGTAGTAGTAGTAGTAGTAGTAGTAGTAGTAGTAGTAGTAGTAGTAGTAGTAGTAGTAAGTAGTAGTAAGTAGTAGTAAGTAGTAGTAAGTAGTAGTAAGTAGTAGTAAGTAGTAGTAGTAGTAGTAAGTAGTAAGTAGTAAGTAGTAAGTAGTAAGTAGTAAGTAGTAGTAGTAGTAGTAGTAGTAGTAGTAGTAGTAGTAGTAGTAGTAGTAGTAGTAGTAGTAGTAGTAGTAGTAGTAGTAGTAGTAGTAGTAGTAGTAGTAGTAGTAGTAGTAGTAGTAGTAGTAGTAGTAGTAGTAGTAGTAGTAGTAGTAGTAGTAGTAGTAGTAGTAGTAGTAGTAGCAGTAGCAGTAGCAGTAGCAGTAGCAGGAGTAGTAGTAGTACGCAGCCCCCCGCTGTCCCCCGCTGTGTTTGTTTTTGGCCGCGCAAGCGTGCTTCAAAGCACATGACCCATATGAACCTTGTGAAACCCATCGTACATGCACCCCCCCACCCCCAACCCCCTGCTTTTTTTGGTTTTAAAGCCGTGCAAAGCTTGCTTCAAAGTATGTGAATCTTGTTGAAACCCATCGTACGAGCATTGTGTTTGCAAATGGGGGGGGGGGGGCTGCGCCTGAGCCGTGCAAGCGTACGGCAAAGCATATGAATCTTGTTGAAACCCATCGTGCGAGCACCCTGCTTTTTTGGTTTTAAAGCCGCGCAAAGCGTGCTTCAAAGTACATGAAACCCATCGTACGAGCATTGTGTTTGCAAATGGGGGGGGGGGGTGTGCCCCCCCAGCCCCCCGTTTTTTCGTTTTAGCCGTGCAAGCGTGCTGCAAAGCATATGAATCTTGTTGAAACCCGTCGTGCGAGCCATGTGTTTGCAAATGGGGGGGGCTGCGCCCCCCCAACCCCCCCGCTGCATTTTTTTCTCTTCAAAGCCGTGCAGAAGCGTGCTTCAAAGAAAAATATGCTGTGCAAGCGTGCTTCATCGAGCATTGTGTTTGCAACACCCTAAACCCGAAACCCAAAACCCTAAACCCTGAACCCTAAACCCAAAACCCTTAAACCCTTAAACCCTTGAGCCCTGAACCCTAAAAGCCCTCAACCCCTAAACCTCTAAACCCCTAAACCCCTAAACCCTGAACCCTGAACCCTCAACCCTAAGCCCGAGACCAGCCCTAAACCGTGCAAATATGCTTCAAAGTATATGAATCTTGTTGATACCCGTCGTGCGAGCATTGTGTTTGCAAATGGGGGGGGGCTGCGCCCCCCCCAACCCCCCCGCTGTGTTTATTTGAGCCGTGCAAGCATGCGGCAAAACTTATGCATCTTGTTGAGACCCATCGTGCGAGCGCCCTGCTTTTTTGGGGTTTTACCGCCGCGCAAAGCGTGCTTCAAAGCAGATGCGTCTTGTTGAAGCCCATCGTACGAGCATTGTGTTTGCAAATGGGGGGGGCTGCGCCCCCCCCAACCCCCCCCCCCCCCCCCCGCTGTTTATTTTTAGCCGTGCTGCAAAACATAAAAAATCTTGTTGAAACCCGTCGTGCGACCCGTGTGTTTGCGAATGGGGGGGCTGCGCCCCCCCCAACCCCCCCGCTGTTGTATTTTTAGCCGTGCAAGCGTACGGCAAAGCATATGAATCTTGTTGAAACCCATCGTGCGAGCACCCTGCTTTTTTGGTTTTAAAGCCGCGCAAAGCGTGCTTCAAAGTACATGAAACCCATCGTACGAGCATTGTGTTTGCAAATGGGGGGGGGGGGTGTGCCCCCCCAGCCCCCCGTTTTTTCGTTTTAGCCGTGCAAGCGTGCTGCAAAGCATATGAATCTTGTTGAAACCCGTCGTGCGAGCCATGTGTTTGCAAATGGGGGGGGCTGCGCCCCCCCAACCCCCCCGCTGCATTTTTTTCTCTTCAAAGCCGTGCAGAAGCGTGCTTCAAAGAAAAATATGCTGTGCAAGCGTGCTTCATCGAGCATTGTGTTTGCAACACCCTAAACCCGAAGCCCAAAACCCTAAACCCTGAACCCTAAACCCAAAACCCTTAAACCCTTAAACCCTTGAACCCTGAACCCTAAAAGCCCTAAACCCCTAAACCTCTAAACCCCTAAACCCCTAAACCCTGAGCCCTGAACCCTGAACCCTCAACCCTAAGCCCGAGACCAGCCCTAAACCGTGCAAAGCGTGCTTCAAAGTATATGAATCTTGCTGATACCCATCGTAGGAGCATTGTGTTTGCAAATGGGGGGGGCTGCGCCCCCCCCAACCCCCCCGCTTTTTTTATTTGAGCCGTGCAAGCATGCGGCAAATCATATGCATCTTGTTGAAACCTATCGTGCGAGCGCCCTGCTTTTTGGGGTTTTACCGCCGCGCCAAGCGTGCTTCAAAGCAGACGCGTCTTGTTGAAGCCCATCGTACGAGCATTGTGTTTGCAAATGGGGGGGGCTGCGCCCCCCCCCCAACCCCCCCCGCTGCTTATTTTTAGCCGTGCAAGCGTGCTTCAAAACGTATGAATCTTGTTGAAGCCCGTTGTGCGAGCCGTGTGTTTGCAAATGGGGGGCGCGCCCCCCCCCAACCCCCCCGCTTTTTTTTTTAAGGCCATGCAGGCGTGCTGCAAAAACATATGAATCTTGTTGAAACCC